TGCCTTTACAGCTCCGCAAGGGCTGATGGCTTCTATGGGTTTGGGCCCGAAGACCATGCGACGAGTACAGGGGGTTGGGCTCTTAGGCATGCCCCAAAGCCGAAAGCCCGTCATGCTGGGTTGCAAATCCTATCAGACTAGAAGCCAGCCTACCAGTAAATTGGGTTCATATACCTATATTTGTAGAAGTAACCCGAAACCCAAAACCCAAAACCCTAAACCCTAAGTATGAATTCGCTGGGCTTGGGGACAAGGGATTCTGACACTCTTTGATGCTAACCTCCAACGAACAACAACTGGACTTTGAGTCTCCCCACGAGCAAACCAATGAACCTAAAACTCTGTTGACGTTAACTTTTCCCGGCAAGCCCTACCTAAACCTTCGACATCCCCAAGCCCAAGGCCCTAATAGTCCACAAAACCCTAAAGCCCTTAACCCAAAACCCCTAAACCCCTAAACCCCTAAACCCTAGACCTCAAACCCTAAACCCCTAACCCTAAACCCTAAACCCTAAACCCTAAAGCCCTAAACCTCAAACCCCAAACCCCAAACCCTAAACCCCAAACCGTACACCCTAAACCCTAAAAACACAGGCTCCTCATCCTTCAGCATGCGGACAAAGTCCTTGGCAACCTTCAGCTCTGGCGCGGAGCCGGCAGGAGTTCAGGCTCAGGGTTTGCGTTTAGGGATTAGGGTTTAGGGTTTAGGGTTTAGGGCTCCAGGACATAGGGTTTTGACTTGAACCCTAAGGGTCCATGTGCTTATATAGTATATACATTGGTCTTAATTTAATCCCTAAATAAGTACTTTGGGGGCTAAGTATATGATATTTGGGCACATGGACCCTGAGGCTAAGGTGTAGGATTCGGGGTTTAATCGTTTAGAGCTTACAAGGTCCAGGGTCTACCCATAGGCCCTAAAGTAGTTCCTTGTTGAGGTTCATATATAGAACCCTATAAGGTAACCCCAAAAAGGAACTACTATGGGGCCTATGGGTGGAGTCCATTCTCGGAATCAAGATTTGGAGTTTAATATTTAAAGCTTATGGATTGGAGCTGATAGGCTTTAGGATGTGGAGCCCCTTAACCCTAAACTCTAAACCCCTAAACCCTGAACCTTAATTCCTAAACCCTAAACCCTAAGCCCTTAACCCTAAACCTAAACTCCAAACCCGGAACCCAAAACCCTAAACCCTTCGAGTTCAGGGCTTGGGGTTTCGATTCGTCTCTTTGGAGACCGTGCTTCAAGTTGCCATAACAAGGAAAACATACGATTTGCAAAAACATCACCTGCTTAATCTTGGGAATTAACTTACAGTAGAAGCCATAAAGTTGGAACATCATGATCCTCATGCCCTTGATGTAAAGTATAGGGAATCCCAGCACTAACCATCCTAAATCCATGTTCTAACTTTCTGGGGTTCACTATAAGCAAGAACAGAGGGTTCATAGAGCTGACAGGTTCAGACTTGAAGACTTTTGGGTGTTCGGTGTTCACTCTGTGGTGAAGGGCTCTGGGACTACCTGTTGCTTACACGGCTACTGTAGGGGCCTATTTTGGGGGGGAGTCCTTATTATGGTTATAGCATAATATACCCCCCCAAAACCCTAATCGAATTATCAAGGCCCCTTTTTAAATGATGCTTACCCTAAACCCTAAACCCTGAACCGTTTTAGCGTTCATTGTCTCTAGGAGTCTCCAGTCACAGAAATCCCCGTACCGCCTCCCCCCGAAGATGTCGTCGCAGGAGGGGCTGGTAAGAGGCCGTGCGCAGCACCTGAGGGTGTCGCTGTAGGGCTTAGAGAAAGCCTTCCGCCAAAAAGCTCTAAAGGCCGTAAACCCTCGACCTTTAAGAACCTTCCAAGAACCCTTATGAACAGAAACTACAAATTATAGCTCCGGTGCTTATTTTAGGCTCGGCAGCCTACGACTGGGAGTTTCGTGCTTGACAATGGTCGTACCCCAGCAGTGACATCATCTAAACCGGCCAATCTACGACCCATGTCTCTGCATGCACCTGAAACCCTCCACGGCACGACATGCCTTATTAACACCATCTGAATACGGATAGATGCCCAGACCTATATGAGACCCCCAACAACACTTAACCCTAAACCCTTGCACGAGCCGTATAGGGACGCTTGGTTAACCCTTGAAGGAACCCTAAACCCCACTCCAGCCTAAATAGATTTCCGGCATGTGTTAAGGCTATTCGAGTACAGTATTTTGGACGAAGGACTTAGAGTTTACATGATTTACCCTAACCCCCCAGGTTCCTACTATATAGGGTACTAGAGCCCCCAGGGCCCTATATAGTAGGTACCTGGAGGGTTAGGGTTAGGGTCGTAGGAACCTGAAGCCGCGTGCTGTCTTGCAGCTAGTGGACCAGCTCAGGGTTTAAGCGCATCGTCTTAGTGTTTTGGCCTTCATGAACTTCAGGGCCTTGGTGTTGAGGGTTTTAGGGTTTAGGGTTTAGGGTTTAGGGTTTAGGGTTTAGGGTTTTAGGACTTTAGGGCTTTGGGGTGCCGCTGTTTAGGGTTTTGGGCGGCTGGACCTATCCTTGTGATACGGCTGTACGATGTCCCACGAGGCGCTGAGGCATCCATTGGAGTTAGTCAAAAGTCTTCTAATTAGCCCTAGGGCTCCACAGGTACCTACCTTTTTAGAGAACTAGAGCCCCCAAGGCCCTGTAGAGTAGATACCTGGAGGGTTAGGGTAGTATGGTGCGCTATGTGATTTGCCAGGCAACACCTGACACCACCCTAAGGGTCCATGTATTCATATAGCATATACATGGGCCCTAAAGTACCTATATAGGGACTACATTAAGGCCAATGTATATACTATATGGGCACATGGACCCTTAGGGCTACATAAACGACAGCCCCACGAAGAGCTCCTGCTCAAGCGGCGCGACCTTCCCCTTCGGCCGCTTGAGCCTGTGACTGCAAGACGGCGGCCCACTTTGAGCAAGCAGTTGCTCTCTGAAACTCTGAAGAAGCACAGAGAAGAACCCTAAACCTTAAACCCTATACACCCTAAACCCTGAAGTTCTGCCTGCTCTTGCCGAGTGGCATTCAGCCTCTTCTCGTCCTGCATTTCCTTCAAGACATGTCCTCTTCGGACCTTCCTGATCCAGGCTATGACGTCTGGATCCAGGCCCAACCCGGACACGAAGCATCCCCCCACCTTTTCTGGGCGATCCTTGATCCGGCATGTCCCGCTTTGCGTCTTGATAATCCTGGTGCCAGCCACCCCCCACCAAGTGGCGGAAATCAGCGTGTGTCAAAAGCCCGGCATCGTGGCACTAGAATTACGCCTCTCACTCCGATGGGACGAACCCAGCAAAAAAAGCTTGGGATTTTAAACACCAAGGGACCCAAAAAATAAAGCTGTACTTCATAGTGGTTCCTTTCAAGGAACAGGTCACCCAAAAAAGACTTCAAGTATGGCATTCCAGAAACCCTAAACCCTAAACCTGGAAAACAATTCCAAGCGCGCTGCCTCCACGCACTGCTCAGACAGATTCAACTTTTGCTCCTGGGGCTCCAATAGGTGGGGTGCAGGGCTGTAAGGGTTTAGGCCCTAAGCCCTAAACCCTAAACCCTAAACCGTTTATTAATAGTAGACTCCGGGATGCTGCTTTTTGAAAGCTTGGCCGTGCTTGCTTCCCTAGAAGTCTGCTCAGCCAGAGAATTCAACCACCTAAGCATATATGTCCCGTAATCAGTTTTGCAAAGAACAACGCAGACGTGCCTGGACTATGAGTGAAAGCTCTGAATCTCTGCTATGGTTCGGCAATAATCGTGAAGTCATGTCCCCAGGTAGAGCGCGAGAAACGAAGATGAACAAAAACATTTCCCTCCAGGCAAGGCACCAACAAGTCGTAGAATCGTATTGGAATCACTTTGGTTTTCGCTTGGAAATCGTAGCCACAGCCGACTTTGTATGGCTTCACAGCCCAACCCAGCCCAGACAGAAATCGCATTGACATCACGTCCAGAATGGTATCCCCGACCTCCAGCCCACTAAGCTTTGGCTCGTCCCCAGCCCAGCCCAGTGCAGCCCAGTGCAGCCCCACATCGTATGCAAATCGTCTCCGCGAAATCCAACCTGCTGAAGTGATTCAATACTATGTCGATAGGATTTCTGACCTGCACTGCTCTCTGTTGATGCTACGTGGACTCGCTTCTTGCCGGCAAGGCCCGGGTTGCTGAAAGCATATCAAATCCACACAAAAGTTCAGGTCACAACTGAAGGGTTTCTGAAACTCTCATAATAAGGAGGGCCCAACTATTTACAACACTTCGAGAGTATCTCATCGGAAATCAACATATGGGTAGTTCTCAAAACTAGGATCCCATTTTTAAGTCCCCAAAATAGGACGGCAACCTTATAAAAAAGGACCCCCCCAAAAAAGGGCTCCAATTTAGAGAACTACCCATATACTCTGGCCCTGAAGATATCAACTAGGACTTCCGTGGGCGAACAGAAAGTGTAGTTCGAGTAGTTCGGATGTGATCCCCCAACTTCAGGTTTAGGTTTCCCGTTGCCCAGACCCTAAACCCTAAACCCTAAACCCTAAACCCTAAACCCTAAACCCTAAACCCTAAACCCTAAACCCTAAACCCCCGGGAGGATCCAAAAGTCGATCCCTGAATGGGGGGTTCCTACAAAGAGCCTTTAGTAGTACAGGGCCCAAAATTATTAAGGTTTAGGGTTTAGGGTTTAGGGTTTAGGGTTTAGGGTTGAGCTACATCCTTCCGGGGGCCTGGGTAGGGATGACTCCAAAATCGACTATCTCCCTGAGCCCGATCCGAACCAGAGTGAATCCTGGTGAATTTGCTTTAGCAGTTTAGCACTGATACCACCGAGGGGTTTAGGGTTCAGGGTTAATGAAGGACTGCATACACGCTGTAAGATAAAGTAATTGGCTGGCTGATAGTACCAGTCATACGAACAGACCAAGCAAGCAGCCAGCACTGAACAAACGGTTCTCCTCCTCAGATGGGTTGCCGAAAGTGTCACGTGCCGAATTCTCCGCCAGCACGGCGAAGGTGCGATGGATCACCTGGCACAGCTCCGGACATTCTTGTGGGGGCAGCCTGTGGGGGCGGGCGGAAGGGGGCGGAAGGCTGTTTGGGTCCTGAACCCTTAAAATTATAATCAACCCTGAACCCTAAACCCGTAAGATAAAATGAAGCCTAAACCCTAAACCCTTAAGGTGTAATGAACCTGAGATCCGAACCCCTTAAGATACGGAATGTCCCCAATCATTTCATGCCCAAGACTCTGAAGCCAGGAACCATAGCTTGACACCACATGGGGGTTTCCGAAAATAGGGGACCCCAATATAGTACCCCAAATAGTAGGATCCTTATTATAAGGACCCCCAAATAAGGTACCCCTCGTTTTCGGAAACTCCCACATGTAGCCAACAATCCAAGCTTTTTGACACAGCATGGAATGAAAGGAACCCATCACTGCAGCCTTTTCTGAGCCAGGTAATAAACGTAGGGTCCATAATTAGCACAGGGTTTTGGGTATGTTATGACATATACTTATACTAAGGAACCCCCAAACTAGTCTTGTTACATACTTCGTCCCTTATACTAAGGAACCCCCCAAACTAGTCTTGTCACATACTTCGTCCCATTTTCTAAGCATGCACCGAAAACGCCGGAGCGATGCATCTCGCCAGTTGGAAGCCCCTAAACCCTAAACCCTAAACCCCTAAACCGGGAAGCATGCCCGGCGCACGCTGCGGGTGTGATTTGTGCGGAACTTGTCGGCGGCCTGGTAGAGGCTTTGCAGACCAATGGTTCCTATAGTCTCCATTCTAGTTCCTTTTGTTGGTTTAACCAATTATATATTAAGGAGTTTATAAGGCATCCCCAAAAAGGAACTACAATGGAGACTATAGGTTTGGTTTGCCTGAAGGATCATGCCCTACCCCTTTTCTAAGGTATCTAGTTTTATGGTTAGGATCTGTTGTATTAAAAAGTAGATACCCCTGTAGGTAGGGTTGAGGATTAAGTTACAGCGCTCTTTTGCAACTGTGAAACTTGACAAAGGCTCGAGATTAGGCTTCGACTTGTTTTCGCTGGGCAGCAGTGAGGCATGTGGACTGCGAACGAATGGTATGTGGGGTTTGGGATTCTGGTGACAAAACCCTAAGCACCCTACAGCCCTTAACCCTATAACACCCGATCCGTAAACCTTTGACGCTTATCCCTATATGGGTAGTTCTCCAAACTAGGGTCCTATAGCACTCTTACAAAATGACCGATAAGAAGGACCTTCCCAGAGAACCCAATGCCCCTTACTTAAGGAATATACCTCAACAACATAGAGGCCTGAAAATTATGATTTAAGGGTCTATTCCCTAATTCAAAGGGTATTGGGATCCTGGGGTCGACACCTGTGGTCTAGCCCTGCGGACTGCAGGGTTCATAAAGGGTTCAATTAGGCTCCCACAGTGATCCCAAAGACCCAAACTCGTAGCATTCATGTGGTCAGGCATGCGTCGTTACCCCAACCATGCTCTGGATGCCGAGACAGACCCTGATTCTGAAATTCTACGCCTAAACCCTAAAGTCCTACACATACCAGCTTTGTTTGAGCATCTATAGCTGTAATGACAAATATCCCCCCGGCACCCGACAACTTCTACACCTCAGAAAACTGAAGCTATCGAAACCAATCGAGCAAATTAGGGTCCCCTTGAGGTTTAGGGTTTAGGATTTAGGATTGAGCAACGGGACTAATAATTTGTCTGTTTGATAGTTGCTATAGAGAGACTATCGGTATGCTAATGTTCTTCGCAAGTGTTCCGCGGCCCTCTATTGGCGTTTATTCGAAGTCTCCAACCCCAAAGACTCGAACAACACCTGAACCAAAAAAACCGTCAACCAACCTTCAACTCAACCCCCAAACTCTAAACCCTAAACCCTTTCAGCCCAATACCCTGGCCCAAAAAAGTTTAAGCTTTTCTTTTAGTAGGGGTTCAATATACCAAAAAAGTTGAAAGTTTGCCTATTGGGCTCCTAAGAA